AAAATCAGGTTCATCCTCGTAGCGAGACAAGTGAACTGTCTGGAGACCCATCTCACGGAACCCTTTGACATGCAGAATTGCCTTAACTGAATCAAAGCATATACCCACTTCTCTAGCAATGTTTCATAGGTCTCGCCTTCTGTCGCACATGACAAGATCATGCACAGCTTCGGCAGTTTCATCGTTGGTGGCCTATTTTGGCCGCCAAGGCCGCTCATCATCTCCAATGCTCTACCTGTCCCTCTTAAATTCAGCAGCCCATATTTTCACTGTGCTATAGGAAGGGACTCCTTCCCAAGTGTATCCATGAAGTCTTCATGGATTTCCTTGGCGAACATCTCTTTCTTACAGAGGTACTTAATGACGACTCTGATTATTTGGTCTAAATGACACATCCCTCTACTGATCAAAGTGTGTTTTATGTTACTTAATCTGTGTATAACCGCGTGTTATTCTTCAATAAGATATCGAGAACTTTTTTATCATACCTGTATACTTGTTTATTATGGTATAAAATGATACAAATTACTTAACCGCTACTTGAGGGAAGCCCAACTACATTGTGTAAATTTTCTGCTTAAGAAAGGCGGTTGCTTAAAACACGTGTAACTGAGAAAAATGTGTGAGCTTTTAAACAGTTTTACATTTTTTTATTTACACACCAACCTAATGAATACTAACTTAAGGTTGCCATCATTATATAGATGTGTATGTCTATTGTACGAAGACATAATGCCTATATATTCCTATCTTCACAAGAACAAAGTGAAGTTGCTGTAAATTCAGCGTTTACTTTTCAAAGGAAACTAAAGTTGACAAACAGTATACACAGAAACGACATTAAGTGCATTCGTTTGGTTTTATAATGTCAATATGAATTTGCATAAATTAATTTTAAAAAAATATTTTGAATTAAAATACACTCAAAACCAACATAATTTAACCAATTTTGTGCAAAGGATGTGCATACTTCGCTTCATAATGATTTACACTCTTATTGACATATAAAATACGCTAAAGTGCGGCGTAACTAAGCAGAAGAAACACATTGGCAGTAACAAAAGTCACATCTTCAGAAATATCACAAAAACCCTGTGACATTTGAAAAATAGGGTATAAATTTGTAATTTATGCTTGCAACTTTCCATTATGATTAGGTAATTAAGTATGGCAACGAAGAAGATCATATTTTAGGTCAATGTGTAATGAGCAAATAATCAAAACTACCAGATTTTAAGCAAGAGATGAGTAAAAATGAACTTAAAAGCTTTTTCTGACACATAATACAGTATATAAGGCAAGTTTAATTTAACATTACAAATTCCCTTTTAATGGAAAAAATACAAGTTTTCACGAGTGTTTCTTCGGTATATAAATATATATATTTCCGACACAATTCATAACGTTTTCCAGGAACTCCTTCACAGTTATCATGAGAACTCCCGACAAGTTATCATAAGAACTCCATCCTTCGTGTAACAGTTCCTCTCACGTGTGAATGCGTCACTGGAAGTAAAATGGAGGCAGTTTTGGAGGGTGGTAGGTTGCAGTTGTGGTTATAGAAACACAGTACAGAGAATAAAAATGCACACTGTTTTTTTTCTTTACTTATTTATCTAACTTTTTTCAGTTGGGTTAAAAGACACATCGACATTGTTACGAACACCTAGAAACTTGAGCTTTACTGGTTGAAGGTGACATCTGGTGGAGGGAGACCTCAGGTGCCCCTTCATGCAGTATGGGTACCTGAGTAGCGCAATGAGGGACACCTAAGTAGAATACCGATCTTTCGTAAACTTGCTTGATAGTGATCTTTTGACTAACAAACAGATTTATAACACGAACTGCACTTATCATGTTATCTTTCTTTAATGACAATATGCTCATATGAAGACATAATAAAACATTCGTTTCAACCAACTATTCAATGAGAGCGAAATTTAAATAAGCCATACCAATTTTTAAACAAAGTAGACAGCTAAATCCCCTTCCGCAGTCATGAGTGTACTTCTTGACCTTTTACCAACCATGACCTTGATGTTGTGTCATGCATATCATAAGCACATAGTCTCACGATGGTGATTATTTGTGCCAAGATATTTAAGATCTTCCATAAAGTCAAAAAAGTTATGGAGAACATATAACCTTGACCTTGGGTGTAGCAACCTGGATGTTGAGCTCTGCAGATTGTGTCATGGTGGGGATCATTTGTGCCAAGTAATATATAAAACCTGTGAATTGTCAATAAGTTATAGAGCTGACATGAAAAATAGATGTTTTTACATTGGACCTTTGAGTGTGACCCTGACCTTTAGGGTTGTGACTTGATTATTGTGCTCTGCCAGTGGTGTCATAATGGTGACCATTTCTGGTTATTCAAGTTATTTTAAAACATTGCAGCAGTTTAAATGTTATAGACAGACACGAAATGTAGTCTTTCTTACATTTGACCTGTAAGTGTGACCTTGACCTTGGAGGTTGCAATTCAATTATTGCTTCTCCGCACATCGTCTCATTATGGTGATCATTTGTGCCAAGTAATTTCAAAAAAAAATCAGCGGTTTAAAAGTTATGGAACTGACACGAAAGTGTTACGGACGGACAGAAGGAGGCCATTCCTATAATCCCCTTTCCGCTATGCGGAAGGGGATTGATAATAATAAGCTAAGCAGTGACAGGCTAAAACCTATGCCACACGGACATCTGACCTGTCGTTTTCTAATGACAATGCCGTGAGCTTTCAATCTTGTGTGGCAGCTATATCACAACAAAATCAGAACACTGGTTATATATTGTCACGTTATTTCTTCAGCACATTTTGGTAATTTTTCTTGATAATTTCTCTGTTGTCGATTTCATTATACATGTACTTGTTTACCTTTCTTTTAAATTAATCTTCAAATGTGTTTGTTAAACATTCTTCCAAAAGGTATCTTGTCAAATCTCATTGCTGATCACATAAAATAGAGAATGAGTAGTTAATTGTCATATTTACAGTTTTACGTTAAAAGATATGATGTCATTGACGTCAACACGTCATGGACGTTACGTCGTTGCGAAGCTACTTAGTGACGGTTTCTACAACACAACTGAACAGATCGTGCATGCTATAAAAAGCTGACAAAAATGACGGAATATCTACGACATTTATTCAGCCGCTGTATCAAAAGTTATCAGAATGGTGACGCAAGCAAATCTCTGAACTATTCAGGTGACATCATTCACTTTTGTGTACCAAGAATAAATATGGAATCATTTTTTACTGACGGACCACAGAAGTGGAAACTTAACATCAGTAGCTTTATGTGGTTGTATAAATATGCAACCAATGATCTTTTAGATAAACCTGGACATGGTTACATGTACGAGAAATTCGTGCTCGTAGTTGACGGTGAATACATGCGTGTTGAAGGCTGGGTACCAATACCAAAGCTCGACCTCAGCTGGTGTAGAACAGATGATGAAGCAAGAGTAGATAGCAAAATCCTTCAGAAACATGCTGCAAGAGTGAACGGCAAAATTCTTCAGAAAAAGGAAAGCAGAGAAAATGTTGTTTGTGTTGACATTTCAAAAAATGTGTCCAGAACAGAAAAGCTGATTGGGATTAAAGAAGAAGACATCTATACAGGCAAGGCTTTATTGCTGTCAAAATCTCAACGTAACAGAATCAGATTCTGGTCCTACAGTCGTCACATGAACCAGTTTTGAACTATATTATTTTACCATTAAGACTTTTAGAATTGTGAATGCCTTGGTTTATGTGTACATGTATGTATAAAATATAGACGCTTTGAGTATGATATGAGAAATTAGAGCTGTATGGATAAAAAATAGTTCTGGATTTATACAGTTCTTGCATGTTGCCAATAAATATACTGACAATTGTAAAGTGATAAATAAAACATCTATTTCAAAATAAAGCATCTGTTTCAAAATAAAAAATCTATTTCAAAATAAAACATCTATTTTAAAAAAACGGGTTTACCTTATTAATATACATATAAAGAATCATATTCTACACGCAATGGACTGTTTCGCCGGTGATAGTTTTATTCCTCTGAATTTACAGTGTTAATAATAAAAGACTTTGTTCAATGTCTACTACATGATGACACACGCCTTGCATGTCTCGGTTTAGGCTTTAAAGCTGTAAAAATTTAAGGTATCTGGAAATAAAATGAGCCGTGTCATGACAAAACCAACATAATGGGTTTGCGACCAGCATGGATCCATGCGCAGGCTGGTCTGGATCCATGCTGGTCGCAAACCCATTATGTTGGTTTTGTCATGACGCGGCTCAAATACATAATATAAAATAAGGTCAATGTGCATTTCTTTACACATGACTGCATACATAGCATCGAACTCCACGGTCCTCATTTAACGATTAGTTTTTTACGACCCCCACCCCATTTAGAATGTATATCTTTCTCTACTTTTGGAAAAAAATCCCCTAAAAAACCAATAATAATAAACAAAATTAAAATTAAATAATTTTTACCTGCCTAAAGCATAAAAATTATGACCATCAACAATATCATATCAAAATTTGCTTTATTTGCGAAATAGGATATGTAGTACTTAAAATTATGAGTATTTTGTCGAAATTCCCTTTTCTTCAAAATTACGTAAATTTCCATACCCGAGTGCCCCGGTCCCATTCCCTACATTAGGTCCCTGAGCTCGCATTTACATGGGACGTGGCAATGAAGCGCTAAATGTGTCACTGGAAGCAGTTTTAGAGGATAGAAAGTTGAGGTTATAGAACCAACGTTCAGGGAAAAAAATGCCAACTGATTTTTTCTTCACTTCATCTATTTTTTCGGTTGGGTTGATGACACATCGATACTGTTAAAGATACGTGGACACTTTTGAGCTTTCGAGGGAGACCTCAGGTGCCCTTTTGTGCATTATGGGTACCGATCTTTCGGCAGCTGGCTTGATAGTAATTTTAAATGTGGCCTTCTGACCAACAAACAGAAATATAACACGAACTACAATTTAATCATCTAATATTTCTTTAATTAAAATAAGCTTATATGAAGGCATAATAAAACATTCGTTTCAATTATTCAAAAATAGCATATTAAGCCATACAAAATTTTAAGTAAACAGCACAGCAGTGAAATGCTCTCGAGTTTCGACTTCAACTCATACAATCAATGAAATACATTCATAACTTTTTTTGGCAAAATGACAAATTATATAGTTTATGCTCTTATTTTATTCTTGCACGTATTTTATATGAATGGTGTATTAAGGGAGGTTACTGATAATTTTCAAACAATGGTTATGAATGACTGTCCTTCGCACTTTACAAGTAAGTTTTCATCTTCTGTTATAATTACACAATTTCAAATGTTTCTTGCGCTTGATATATGATTCACAGCAATGACCTATTTTATGCCAACAAACTTTTACTTTACACAATCAAATTTCAAAGGATGTATTTTCTTAAGCACTACTTATTGACTGATTATTCCGCGGAAGAACGATTTCTCGCAATTCCATCATCTGTCCGAGACCTAGCGGCGCGGTCTCACCACTTTGGATAGAGTCTGAATCAGACGACTCCATAAAGTAGTCTCGCGGTTCATCATCAGTCAAACTGATGTTTGTTATTAAATCAAGCGTCTTCAAACTCTCGTCACGTGTTTTCCTCTTTTCCGTTGGAATATGCTGAATCATTTGTTGGTCGGTGTCTAGTTCCGGTGACAGTTTTATCAGGCTTCCGTAAGAATTGGCATACTTTTTGCACAAATTGTTTGCGTCTATATAAGTCCGCATGTTTTCGAAATCTTCCTGGTCAACGGCCGTTTTGATATTACACGGAGTGCTAAACGGAAGTTCAAATAATACATTTCTTTTATTTAAAATCGTACTGGCTATAATCGTATCTTCTTTGACTTGTTCCTTTAGAATCAACATACCAGTAAAAATGCAGGGAACCACTGGTGCTTTACCGTAGATCATTCGAACTTTAAGCGGCAGGTGAAGATCTGTCAAAATGTCTTTCATTCTATAAATAGCGCGACCATCTTTTACCCCTTTTTCATAAATAATATTGAATTTTCCGCGTGTTGACATTGGAACCAGCACTTCTTTACCATCAGTATCCACGCATTTTAGATACTGAATTTCAACCGTAGTCCATTCCTTACTTTTTCTTTTCAATAAACCAGTCTGTGCTGTCGTCTGCCATTTGGCGGCAAATGTTCCACTAACAGTCAAAATTGTTCCAGCAGGTATTTTTCTTTCTTTGAAACTTTGACCTTCACCTTTATCTTGAGTTTCTTCTTTCTCGTTTGCACTTTCACTAGGCTCTTCTTCAACACGAATCGCTCGGATGTGAGTGCGTGTGAAGAATTTCCGTGGTCCGACTTCTGCAAGCTGGCCAATTGTTCGAAATACCGGCCCTCGGCCAAAATCTGGTGGTACTATTTCAAACCATCCTGAAAGAACACAATTGATTTTTTTTTTGTTAAAGATAAAATGCGGAACCAAGCGTGTTGACAAATCTGAAATGACTCTAAGAGTGATATTTTGTTATATTAACTTTACTTTGTTTGCTCATTCAATACATTAAAAGAATACTCGTACGTTGTGAAGGGAATTTTAAAATTATTAATAAACATTTTTTGTGGATATATACCAGTAACCTATTTGGGTAAAATAGTATCATGACAGATCCATGTTCTCCGTTACCTATGCTGTTAATATTGTTAAGATATTGCTTTGATATTTTTGTTGTCAAAATTCTTTTATAATTTGCGCTGAAATGATAACATCCAAGATTAACCAAACAGATCTGAGCGTCTCATTTCGCTACAATATCTTAACAGTTTATATTATAAAAGAAACAATAATTTATTGATTGTACAGTGTTTATTCTTGTTTACAATTATAAATGTTTTCAACATGACAGAGGCGGAATCAATCACTGTTAAATCAATAGTTTTATACTCTTTTTACAATAGACTTTTCATTTAAACAACCACTAAATATTAAGCAGTTTAAACTATTAAAACTGTTTAAAACAAGTAAAACAGTAACATTATTAAATTAAAAATGTGGATTTACTGAATTTTACTCGGTACAATAAAGAATTAAATAGTTAAATAGGATGGATACATTTATAGTTACATAGTTCATAGTATGGTATACCAGTATTTATATTACAAATTTAGATTAGCCCAGGGCTATGAATTATTCATATAAAGATTTATGATATGCGTGATTCTGGATGAGATACGATATGTACAACAACAACAACGACGACGACGACGACGGTGGTGACAACAACAACAAAGTACAACAACATATTAAGTATTTTAGTGATACTGACCATCAAAATCGTCTGGGATATCAAGCGTCTGTCCCACCTCAAAATACGGTCCCTCTTTGTCGTGGTATATTGTCCGTGCCTTTACATGCCTTTTACATGTTCGAGTAAAGAACAACACGGGTTGTTCGGAGTAAATTCTTAAACCGGGTGGAAGTGTAGATCCCACACCCGCTCCACGTGACAGTCCTTCGTAGCGAACAACCTGTGGAAGTCCAGAACTATTCTCAAATGAATGAAAGTCCATGAAATCTTCACTCCATTTTATTTCCGTTACTTTCGGCACTTCTTCTTCTTCTTCTTCTTGAAGTTCTGGGTTTTCGTTTTCAGCCATGTTATTCAATAAACGGGTATGTCTTTTCGTCCGTTAGTTGTATTTTGTATACATAGTTTAAACTATACACTATCCCATTCATTGAGAAAGAATGTCACAACGCTCTGTAGATGTATTGGATTATTAAGTTAACGCTCCGTCGCCTGTGATATAAATTTATTTTTAGAATAGTTGAAAACCGGTTTTTGAAACTGTGTCTATTGCGCTGTAAAGTCGCTGTTTGAGTCATGATGCAGATTTTTTGAGGGGGCTGGGGAGGTATAAGGCCATATTCATATAATTCAATTTAATCAACAACATATTTACATCATTTAATTAAACAACCACGTCAACAAAAACAAACAGGAACAAGACACAAAAGAAACCACCAGCGAATTAAAAAGATAAGTAAATAATTCAAATAAACAATAATTAAAAACAAACAAAAAACAGACAAAAGTTATCTTCGACAACAGACATATTTATTGTTATAATTTTATAGTTCCACCTATTAAGTAGTCATCTTAGGGCCCGCTTTTCGTTCATATGTCGGGATATGTCAAATAAAATGTACATTGCTTATTGGACGCAGTTGTACATGACAATACGGTTGAATAAACTCAGAATTCAATCAATTAGTAATAATAGAATGTTAAATTTAGGACCGACACTCTTAATTTAAAAACGATGGAACTCGTTTATGTTCAGGCTTAATATAGTTTAGAAATAAAAGAAATTATTTAAAAATGATACATTAACCGGCCACAGACTCTACCGTAAGTGTCTCACGCAGATTTTATCGGTTGTACTTATTGACAAAAAAAAGCCAGAAAGAAAAGATGTTTCAGTTAATTGGCAAATAAGTAACTTTTTGGATACTACAAAAAAAGCCAGAAATCAAAAAAGATGTTTCAGTTAATTGGCAAATTTCTGGGGAATAATGGACCTTTAATTAGGCCTCGGAAATGGCTTTTATTTCTCAAAAGTTTTTTTGTTGTTTGATGTACTGTTATAGTTTCAAAAAAATTACTCATTGGCTAATTACCTAAAACATATTTTTCTTTTGTTGCTTTTTCGCAGTTAGAACAGTTGTCGTGATATTATATTTATATGAAAGTAAAATATTACTTTCTTTACATTTTGCTACTTTTATAACAAATAATTTCACATTTAACGCTTCTTTCATCAAGACACACACATCATATTAAGTACTCTAAGGTAATTTTTCAGATGTTATAAACTCATGTTTGCCCTTCCTTAAAGATCATGTAACACAATTTTTATGGTTTTAAATCATAAATATGGTGCTCAAATTAAGATTTATCAATATTATAGGTTCCAAAAAGCATTATTTATAAAGACATTACCGAATTTAACATTTCGTGTAAATAAGGGAGGTAATTAGAAATTTGTTTTGTCAAATTTTCCAATAAGAAATGAATGCATATATTTTAATGATTACATTTAATATGAACAGATATTTGCAGTACGTATTTTACATATTCTTTGGTGTTTGAAAATTGTTTTATCAGCATAATTTTATACATACTCAGTATATATAATTTCACTTAAGTGTATTTAAGCATAAACTACATAAATACATGGTTACAACATGAAGGAAAATTTATAATTTTCTTTGGCATAACGTGCATTGTTATGAAGGCGTCTTCAAATTTCGACATGATTTTAAACTAACATTATGCTAATTTTGCGCTTTTGAGTCTAGTTGAATTAGTAATATAGTTCAAAAGGTTGACTATTATAATGACGATTGTCTAAAAAATGTTTGGTTTTAACATGTTTATTTAAGCTCGATTGCGAAACAAGCTCCTGCAACTTTTATTAATCACTTTCGAGTCCGCTTTCTGGAACCAACCAGTACTGGTGTCATATGAAGAAACATGGTCGTGACCCGAGTAGGGCTCGAACCCATGATCTCTGGGTTGGGAGGCAGACACCTTAACCACTAAAATGTTTATGACGACTTTTATTATAAAAAAATACTGCCCCACTCTTTTTATGAATACCAATACATTCTGAACGAATTTAATAGAAATTTGTAAGTCACGTGGATTATTAACTATTTTTCATAGCAAAATATTAAATTGAACACAAGTATGGCAAACATGTCAAAGTTATTTTGATTTTTACCTGTTCACTGACCATTTACACTTAGATGAACAAAATGTCACTTCTACATACATTTGTGTTTTCTTGATATTTTCAATCTGGTTATCAGAACAAGCCTACGTTTTCATTTATCTGTTTTAAAACGTTTCAGCAATCACTGCATGTTTGGGAACATATTCACTTTTTGGAATATAAGAGGAATGAATAACAAAATAAGATGAATGCGAATATTTTATTGTTGATATATTGTAGTGATATAGCTTGTTAGTTCTTAAAATGGTCTTAATTTACTGAAATTTATTTTAACTGTTTCCGTCTAACTCAAGCAATGCAGAAAGGTACTGCTGCGTTTGTTTGCAGGAAGTATTTCCCGTGGTTCATACCAGGTGCAGCATGAAATCCCATCAGTGCACATCCGGTGCCGCACGCATTGCAGTTAGCAGACGATTGGTCGTCTATCGTGTCACATGGGTATGACGTAAACGGACACAGACTGTTGATTGACTCAATGAAATAGTAGTATGAACGACGATGGCTGCATAACAATAAGTCAAGAAGGTTCAGCAATTGTCCTGAAAATATGTGTACTATCATTGTAACCTATTTTCTTGCTAAATCAACAGAAAAATACAAATATTAAAATAAAATGAATAACATTTGAAAACTACATGTATTTGAAGTAACAGAAGTTTACAATAAACGATAAAATCATTTGAAGTTTAAAACTTGTTATTCACACATACATTGTATATGTTTATCATATGCATTCTCATTGATTTAGTATTATTCTGACCATTTGTGATAAATTTATGGTAAAAAGGCAAAGCCCGTGAGTTTAAATTTTAATACATACGAAGTCTGACTGAGAATCACCAAAACTGAAAATCAAGTAAGAAGTAGGTAGGAAAATGAGAGGACGAAAGTGACCAGAATTTTTCTTTTTCATTACTAAAACTTGCCTATATCACCGTTCAAGACTTCAATTATATCAACCTCTCCCTGAGTGCAACCAGGCTGAACCTTCCCTCCATTGGGGTAAAAATCAATGTGTCCCACAGCTCTCATCATACCTATACCTGTAAATATACATCAACGTGTCTTTATTAAAAACAAGATGTATCTTTAAAAAAAGATACTCGGGCGATGTAATACTGGTTAACTTGCATCTGTTAGTTCTTATATAGTTTTCCATGCAAAGTCATATAGAAATGTTAGTATAGCTTGCATAACAATGACGTTATAATTTCCAGTATGGATATTATTCTTGAAAAATGGAACACTTTAAGATGTGTTCCTGAACAAACCAGTCGTGATTCTGTAAATGAACTTAATTTCAATCACCAACATCTACGCAGTCGGTAAGGCAATTATTTTTTATAAATACATACTTGATTGATAATGCAAAAAATATATAAAAATCATAAACATTATATCAACTGAACACATCAAAAATTATATAATATATTAGAAACTCATTGAACATCTTACACTAAGAGTACCTCATAAATAGAGGATATTGAATGAGTGGAAGTTCAATACTGAATTTATTGCACGAGTTGAATAAAATTATATTATGCGAGCCTCTTGCGAGCATAATATTATTTTATTCAACGAGTGCAATAAATTCAGTAATGAACTTACACGAATTTAATATTCTATTTATCAAATACCAAAAATAAAGACCGTTTAAGGTGAAATAAGAGTCATATTTCTTTGACGCGCCTATAGTATAACGCTAACATTTAGCGCGTCTTTACACTATGTTTGAATAACGCTAATGACGTCACGTCAAAATATATGCACGGCCGTGCAATATCATATTTACGGAGTCGCAAAATCGGCACGAGTATGTGATAAGTTCTAATATTATTCTCATTAATTTTGACAAAATTTAAAACTCTGTGCAAAATAAACCAAGTAAGTTCTAACGTAAAATAAACTTTTTCACTAGAAAATGTAATGAGATCTGAATGTTAAACAAAACTTAAATATCTGAGCAATTTAACTAGAAAGTTAAAGAACTATCCTGTACATTTTATTTTAGAACTATCCTTTACATTTTATTTCATAATGGCAAGAACTATCATTTCCTTTTTTAGTTTTGAACTACCTTAGAATGACAAGAGCTATCCTTTACATTTTATTTTAGAATGGCCAATGAGATTCCCAGATTTCATTAATGACCACTATATAACTTATGTTCAGTTATTCCCTGTAAATTTTACAAGAAGTCAAACTTCGGCCGAAAAAACTTTTTTCCACGACAGAGATCACTGTATCACTATTTGTGTTTGGGAATGCTTGGCCAAGCTTCCGGAAAATTACAATATGAAATTGCAACTTTTCGGGCCTTTCCGTCAGTCTTCGAATAATAGCCGAAGAAGTTCCGATTGTTACAATATGGTCGACGTTTCCGCTTCAAACACTGCAATTTTTTCTTTCCGCCAGAATCGTCGGTGTTCATAAACATTATTGCTTTGCGTGGAAAGCTATAACGAACGCACTACAGTTAGTTCATCAAAGTATTCGATGCGTGACAGTTCAGGAAAAAGGCATATTTTTGGCGTTGGGACGAGCTCTTATACATTCTGGGAAGTTAACTATTAGAATAGAAACAAAATAAAAGATTGCACCTTAGGCATGTAGTATGCAGACGATAATATTTAACTGCAACCTACCACCTACGAGATCGCCGTCAGTGTGAATGACGTCAACAAAAACAGCGTCATTTTTGTCCAGGCGAGTAATTTCCGGCCAATATTCGAATGCAGGACCTGCTGGATCCAAGCCTGGAACAAAACTTTTCGAATATATTTATATGATATAACTTTTTACGAATATCGAATAAGTATTTTATTTTCATTCGTTTTATGTGATAAGTACAGAACGTTTAAGTTTATAAGGCTTTTAAACCGGATATGCTTACTGGTTCGAGTAGATTTTAATTGCTCAACTGGTCTTTCAAGTATCAAGAATTCTAATGCGGGGATCAGCAAGTGGTTGTATTCAGTTTTTATACGCTTTAAACAAAGTCATAAGATTAGATGTGCATTGCAATTAATGCTTTAACTTACATAAAAAGTATTTTGTCGGTAAATATATGCCCACTAACACAATTGATATTGGCATTAAAGGTTATTTTTACTACTGTACAGTACCCACTTTACTCACCATTACAAATCTATATAAACTCAAGTCCCCTTAATATGTGCACAACTAACCATTGTTCAAAGACTTTAGTGAACAAACATTGTTTTAAAAAAATCACCATAATGATGCAGGTATGTATAAATTAACGTTAACTTTATCAAATGTTGATTTAAAATTCACCATAATAAATCAGGTATTTATATTTTATAATTAAGTTAACATAAATCTGTAACAAATATTGATTAAAAAATCACCACAATAGTTCAGATATGTATGAGTTTATGTAAACCTGTAATTCTGCCGATACCAGACATGATCTCCCCGGCGTATCCGGCTATATGTGCACCAAAGCTGTGTCCAATTATGTGCACGTCTCCGGGCAAGATATTTTTAACGTCCTTTATAGCATTAAGAAGGCGCGCAAGTTCCGCCCCAATCAGACGTGTATCTGCTGCAGCTTGGAAATAATTTACATCCGCACCGTTACTCCAATCCACAGTGATGACGTAATAATCATACTGTATTGATATAGAAACAAAAATCATGTGCAGGAGTCTGATGACCAGTGCATCAGTCTTATTTTGGTCTGCACTGTTCGTTATCCGGTCAGAATTTATTTTGAAAATTTCACTAAAAATGACGAATGGTTTTGGCTAGATGAACAGAATTCATCTAAAATAGTTTGCTTGTTAAGGGTTGAGATTCTTCAATTTCGAGTCGTCAAAAAAAAAACAATGTCTTGCATTTTTCAAAGAAGCGCACCTTTTAACTGATTTTTTTCTTTTGAATATTTGGTGAAGTGGCCAATGATATTCCAGAACGACATTGCGGATTTCAGCCAACCGTCTGACAAATTCATTCAATTTTCGCAGGAAGAATTAACATCAGTACATGTACAATTTTTTGCGATGAAAATATTTTAATTCTTAAAACGAAAAATATGTTGTAAAAATTTAATATTCACATAAAAAACACATCAATAATGTTTATAAAAGTAATGGGTGTAAAACTTACATATGTTAATAGCTCTTGTATCATAATTTGTACCCAGGGTGCCGCTTCGGAACTGATATACCCGTGTACAATAACCTTAATTTGTTTTGCCACTGTGATATTTTGCAAATTTTCATGATCTATCACGGATGTGAGGTCTCGGGTATAGAGAGTAAATTTTGTATCAATTATCTCAGGTGAGCGCGGCAATAAGTGTAAGGTGTTGTAAAACGGCAAGGAATTAGGGAAACACCCTAAGTCCCCGTAACAAACTTCCGGCACCTTATAAAACCAACCTGAAACTCAATGCATATATAGTTCAAAATGGTGTTGCAAAAGAAATTGAAGTCTCACTTAAAATGCTCAATAGTGAAAGTCAGTAAAAGGCTTGCATCGTATACACAGTGTATACAAGCCAATCTAAATTCGAGAAATTGATTCGCGTTATTATAAGTAATAATATTTATGTCAACTATGAAAACTTACCTTGCGTATGTGGAATCAGTAGAAATATAACCGTCAACTTTGATAACGGTGACATCATTGTTGAGTTGTTTCTGTTAAAAAGAGAAATAAGGAGTATTTCTTTTTTGCCTGGTTTCTTATTATTTTTTTCTTTTATTTATTCATTTTTATTTTTTATTTGTTATTTTTATTATCTACATATATTTTTTAATTTTCTTTTTTTTTCTTTTTTTTCTTTTTTTTGACTTGTAATATATACAAAATGGATGGGAAAATATTTAGAAATTCAACCAGTTAAAAAAAATTTACAGCCTGCCACGTGGACAATAATCAGTATGCTATGATATCCATTGCTTTTAAAATTTGTCTTTTGACATCATATCTGTATTTTATTTAGTTCCGCCTATTGTTTTCTCGTTTAGGGCACACGTTTTTTTTTACTTGGGGACCATATGCCGCTTTTCATGGAATGGCACTAACGTGTCACATTGAAGGTTCCATGATAACTGCCATATGAACACATCTGCGAATGTTTCAAAATTCTAAATTTTTCCAGTTCAATTTTAAATGTTGAATTAAGCCGGTGCTAGCGGGCGTGGACGGTAGTTTGTACTTTACAGTACCGTCCATGAACAGGCTCAATCAAACCGAGCCTGCAACATTTTAAATTTTGCCGTGTTGGGCTTTCTTTATGGATTCTTATTTCTCTCTATTTTGCCCTGTTTTAAATTTGGAAAAGTGTTTTCAAAGTAAAATTTATTTCACGATCAAAATACAAAAATTCCAACAATCTACAGCCTATAGTTAGACTGCATGGACTGCATGGATATCCATACTGGCCAGGCTCTATACTGGGTGCAACAAGTTGCTTTTGTTTCCAACAGAATTATTATTAAAATGATACTAAAAGCAGTCGTTGATCTCATGCATTTGTGTAACCGTGATTTTTTATCAAAGGGCGAGTCTTCACTTATAAACGAATAAATTAAACTAAATAATTTTATAAATTCATTATTACAAGATCACTGAACGATCCCTTTATTTGCCAACAACATGGGTATATCTGTTATTTGAATATGAAATTATCTAGTTGATTCAATGAATTAAAAAAAAAATATTTCATTTTTGTCATATTTTGGTTTGAGGATAGAAAATAATCACATATTATTTTTCATATACATTTTATATACTAAGAGGATATTGTTTTCGTTTGAGTGAAATATGGAATATATTTTCACGAAACACTATCAAATTCCACACATTTTCACGAGCCGGGAAAAATAATTCATCTCTAAAAACAAATTCTTGTTATTTAATTCTTAAATGTTGCACACTATTATTATATGTATAAAATTACATTTTTTGGGAGCGAAAGGGTTAGATTATTTGAATTATTTCACTTACTATCATAAGAAAACTATAAGCAAATGTAAAATCAAAAGAAACTTACATCGAAAATACGAGCTCCTAGTCCGACAGAAATTTGATTTTGAAACGTTAAAGTTATCCCGTAATATACGATAGAAAAAAGTAATTAACTAACAGATGTAGCAAAGGAGTGTTGAAACATATTGTATTATTTATGACGAATTTTGGTTTTTTCATATACAGGTATATAATTTATCCTTTTCTCTGTGACAATAAATATTAAAATTTACAAAATGTAAATGTGAAAATATATAACATCACTATAGTGTAAGTACCGTAATGTAAAAACATCCTCACGCAAAGAGATGTTTTTGCACGCGCACACAACGCGCACGCGCACATTAAAAGGCGTTTATCTGGTGGTTTATAACTAGATCAAACTGTAGTTACCTTAATGTCTCTAGGGTATCTATCAAAGTCAACCTCAGTATCAATATTCTTTGATTCCAGTCATGGTGAAAAAAATGCAAATTTAATTGTAACTTATTTGAACCACTTTCAACTCGAGTTTCTTTTTCTGGAAGAAGCTAGTACATATTCTGGTTTCTACAGTGATAAATAGTGTATATTAAACTCAAAGGCTCGAACCCGCAATCCTTGGGTTGAGAGATATCATTCCAACGTTTTTTCACATGTGTCGTCTGATGGTAGCCAATAAAGCAGTCACATTGAGGGGTGATTGGCCAGTCTGTTCCTATAATTATGTTGCGGCTTCTTTGTGGCATTTTGCAGCTACTATGTAGCAAGAGACACAACAAGAGCTGTCCGTAAGACAGCGCGCTCGACTTTTTTATTGCTTGCCAATAAAAAAAGTTTTTGCAGTAAAAGGCAATACAAGAATCTCTGTATTTTTAAAGTGAACAATGGCCATGAGCATTAAGATATTTAGTGAAGAATTATTTTACTGAATTGTGTGATACCCTTGAACACTGCAGCAAAGTTTGAAATGTTTAAGTCAAAAGAGGGCTGGTAAGAAAGAAAAAAAAACTGAGTTGAGTTTTTTAGTGCTTGCCTATAATACAAAACATTGACAGTTAAGGGCCATAATTCAAATAAAATCTTTGACAGAATTACCTTCTCCTGGACATGTTTGGGAATCATGATTGTAAACAAGTATTCCAACTTTCAAATTAATATCTCAAACAGTTCAGTCAAAAAGTGGACTGGTACTAAAAACTTAACCAAGATTCTAAGTCGATAAAAGGCCTTAATTTTTAAAACAAATCCTTGACAGAGTTACCTTCTCTTGCGTACAGATGGGGGTAATGATGTGAAATAGCATTAAAAGTTTCAAAGCAATATCTCAAAGGGTTAAGGCAATAAGTGGATTTTACCCATATTCAATGTATTTTCTAAGTCAAAAAGGGGCATAATTCTGTCAAAAACCTTGACAGAGTTATGTCCTCTTGTCTGTTGATGAAGGTCGTGATGGTAAACAAGTATGGTCAGTTTCAAAGCAATACCTCCAATGGTTTTGAAATAAAGTGAGGTGGTACAAAAAACTTAACCAAGCTCAATACACTTTCAAAGTCAAAAAAGGGCCATAATTCTGTCAAAAACCTTGACAGAGTTATGTACTCTTGTCTGTAGATGGAGGTTATGATGGTGAACAAGTATGGTAAGTTTCAAAGCCATACTTGTAATACTTCTGAAATAAAGTGGGGTGGTACGAAAAACTTAACCAAGGTGTGACGCCAACGCCGACGCTAACGCCGACGCCGACGCCGACGCCGACGCCGGGGCGAGTAGGATAGCTCCCCTTTTCATAGAAAAGTCGAGCTAAAAATCATGAACAGGCCAAAACAATTTTTATTCAAGGGCTATAACTCAGTCAAAAATCAATCAATTGGAAAGCGCAAGTACTTGAGGTATAGATCAATCCTGTAGAGTTTCACTCAAATTGCATGAGTAGTTTAAGAGAATTAGTCCAAACATAACTCAAAACTTCAAAAAAAAAAAATTAAAGGACCATCACTCTGACAAAAATCATAGAACTGGAAAATGCCAACAATATGCAGTTATATACTTGGTACTGATCATTCCTGTGAAGTTTTGATGAGATTGCATAGTAGTACAGTCATGTAGTCTGGACAAGCAAACGGACGACGCATAAGTGGTCTCTATCTGTCGCCCGTACTTTGTAGCAAAAACACAAAAAAGGAAAATGACACTTCAATCGATTCTGGCATTTTATATTTTCCTAAAATAAAGAAACTAATTAATCATACGTGACATCTGCTTACAAAGGCAATATCAGTAATCATTAATCATAAATTTATATTTTATCTATGATATGACCAGATGTTAATAATTTCAATATTAATGGCTTTGATACTTCATGTATATGCTACATCAGATATTTAAGAGATGATATAGAAATATTATAAACATCAAAATCGAAATTTATGTTTCTCAACGTGCACCTAACACCTTTCACGAAGCCATTATAACCAAGCTATAATTTGAATTATACCTTACTTCGGCTGTGTTTTAGAACTCTGTGACCAAGTGATTATGTTTGCTGAATTCCAACCACTGTCTCCACCGCAGTTCGAATCCGGCAAAGGAATCTGGAATATTTCATATTTTAACTAGCTTACTACTCAGGTGTCGGTTCGTGCCTATATAAACATTAAATTTTGACCCCGTTGTATCATTATTTTAAATTTTGATCAAAACCTCATTGGGAACTGATCAATCATTGAATTTTGATCAAAATAAGGTAAAGTCGGATAACGCCTAATGGCCAGGGGAAGTAACCGTTGTTGGGAGTTTTCGGATAAACGACAATCATTCCGCAGTGGTTACCCTTGACCATTAAAGTCTGCAAAACGCACTTATTAAGAGATTAAATATAACAGTGCTGCAGTGGATCCTTCAGTCAATATGCGTTCTAAGAGGGGTAGATGGATTTCAACTTGTGTGATATATTTTATATACTAGTATTAATAACACACGGGAGAGGAACTGTTACACAGGGATGCAGTTCTTATCATAACTTGTCAGGACTTCTTGTGATAACTGTAACGGTGTTCGTCGGAAAACTTTTGTATATACTACAATATCACTCGTTAAAATGATAGTTTTCATCTTTAAAAAGTGAGTTTTAGGTGCTTAATTTTGTTGTCAAGATCATATTTTACATGGCCTAAATTTCATGACTGTACATCAAAGGACAAGAAAGCAGGTCAAAATCTTGGTCAGCTGTTTCTCAAACTGTGCACACAGTCAAAGGTATAATTGAGCCGCGTCACGACAAAACAAACGTATTGCATTTGCCACCAGCATGGATCCAGACCAGCCTGTGCTATCAGTTTCTCTACTTGTTATAGGGTTTTTAAGCGAACAGCATGGATTCTGATCAGACTGCGCAGATGAGCAGGCTGGTCTGGATCCATGCTGGTCGCAAACCCATTATGTTGGTTTTGTCGTGACGCGGCTCATATAGCTGTACATCAAACATGAAAGTAGGTCACTGTCCCCTTGGGCAGGGCAAAATTTTGACTGGAACAACCTCGATCACCACACAATATTTCATGTCAAATATCTAAGCTCTAGCTCTCTCCTATTCAGAAAACATTTGTTTTAGATCTGTTTTTACTATACACATAATGAAAATTAATGACCCAAGGACTCAATTTGGACATGTCTTGGTAGAGGTCCCTTATGCAATGTTTCATGCAAAATATCTAACCTCGTAGTCTTTGTAAATTCAGTGATTTTTGAAGTTTTTACTATGTACATTTAAGGAAAACCTACGACTCCCCCGCAGCGGCTAATTTTGACTCTTAGAGGTACAACTTTGGTACAAGACCTTTAGATGATATCATATACCAAAAATCAAAGCTCTAAGCCTTGTACCTTCAGACAAGAAAGATTTTTACTTCATGTACATAATGACAATAAATGAACCCCAGGAATGGGCCAATTTTGATTGAGGGGCTGTAATTTGAACAATCTTGGAAGAGGTCTACCAGACAATGCCTTATGCAAAATATCTATACTCTAGGCCTTGTGGATCTTTACAAGATTTTTAAAAAAATTATTCTTATAGTTCCTTTTGGTTGCCATGACAACCTGATTTCTGCATGGAATCAAATTCTTTGAACAACTTTGGAAGCCCTTCATCCAAGGATAAATCCTGCCAAGTTTGGTTGAAATTTGACAAGTGTTTTTTCACAAGAAGAATTTTTAAGTTCACAATATAATCTGTAACACCCACAAACAGGCACAGGTGAATCGCTATAAGCCACCACATCGCAGATGCTGCAGTGGCTCTGCAATTCTTTCCATTGCAACCATCGATAATTACTCTGAACGTTACAAAGACATTTTTGCTTATTCTGAAGAAGGAATTTGAGGCATCAGGTGTCTTTAACTTCAGTGCAAATCCAGATCATATGTAAGTTCATTAACATGATCAATGTCATAGCTATTCTGTAACCAACATAGTATTATAGTTTACACTGCAATAACAAAATAATAAAAAAATGTAAGAGTATGGCAACAATTTATTGGCAGAATATACAATACAACTTCAGCTGTGAATTCTGCGAAGAAATCTTTTCCCAATAATCTGTAGCCATCCTGAAAAGATTTAGAAAAAATAAAGTTAATTTCATAATAAACTTTCAACAATACTTCGACTATAAGATGATTGCTCAACCGAGTTTTATCAGCAGACTTTCAAGGTCCCATCTGCTAATAACTAGATGCAAATTTATCAATAAATTACAATATAACTAATACTGGTTACTGTGGTAAGTGGTCCGTTAAATCTGCTCCCTCAAGGAAAATATTAAACACAAGCAATACATGCAACATAGAACAAAGTTGAAAGATGACACCAAAAGATAAATTTTTGTGAAATAATATCAAAGTCATACAAACAGGTAATGTTTTGACACTAATCAAAATTAGTGTACCAATAAATGGTCAACCAATGAATAGATGAATGGTTCTGTAAAATATTATCTTAATCTGACAAACAATGTGTTGGGGAGGGTGTTGGGGTAATTGGGGTTTGTTTCAGATCAATACGCATGAAATTCCTTATTGTCAGTCTGCATTAATGTTGTTGTTAATTTTTTACAACATTTTCAACCAAAAGCGACTACTTATACAAGACTTGAGCCGGTTGAACCAGGTGATGCTT